TCTCTATTTTCCCGCGATTCCAACTAGGTAAAAATTGCACCTGGAGCCGAGGCCGGTTTGGCTCAATGGATAGAGCAACGGCTTGGGGACTGAGGGGACCCGGGTTCGATTCTGGTCAAGGGCATGTACCTTGGTTGCGGGCATATCCCCAGTGGGGGGTGTGCAAGAGGCAACTGATCGATGACTCTCTCTCATCGATGTTTCTGGCTCTCTATCTCTCTCCCTTCCTCTCTGTACAAAATCAATAAAATATATATTTTAAATTGCGCCTGTGCTGTGACTTCCTAAATGAGCCACACCCCTTCGCAGCACATCTTTCAGCTCCTCCTTCAGCTCCGCCTTACTCCCGGCCACCTTTGCGTTGCGCGCCTGCGCTGTCAATCCCCGTGGTTCTGGACCCCGGAGCTGCCGGCCTGTGCGCGCGCGCCCTCGCCCCTGTTGCGCGTGGTGTCACCTTGGGCGCGAGCGGGGCCGCGCGTGCACGGGACCGGGTGTCCAGGGCCATCGAGTAGCGATGGCGGCTACGGCGAGTCCTGGGGCCGGCGGGATGGACGGGAAACCCCGTACGTCCCCTAAGTCAGTCAAGTTCCTGTTTGGGGGCCTGGCCGGGTAAGCGCAGGCCCTATGGATGGTAACGAGGAGGAAGGGACGGGTGCGAGGAGCCGGGCCCAGTTCATCTTGGGGTCTGTTGCAGTGTACTGAGCCTGCACGGGGTCAGCGCCGTTCTCAGTGATCTTTGAGATGCCAGGATATTTTTACCCATTGCCAGGCCCTTATTAGGCTGCATGCGGGGTCATTGCACGGGATCCGCTGGGCGGCCACCTGAATTTCCCAACCCATTGCTTGGCTCTGCAAGGTTTATGGTGTTCCAGGTCATTGCATGTCTCCTGCCGGTCCTGAAGGGGTCGGACTGCATGCAAGTCCCAAGTCACTGCTTGACCCCCTTAGAGTTTATGGAGCACTTTGATTGCATGCTGGATCATTGGATGGTTTAGACCCATTACTCTTGACTTATACACATGTCCAACGACCTCCTGAACATTTAGTCAATCGTATGGCAGGCCCTGCTCCTTGTGACTTGTTGCCAGGTGCCAGTAGGCATTGGTAGATCTGGGACACCTTGACTCTACCCCCATCTTCCCCCAGGATGGGAGCTACAGTTTTTGTACAACCCCTGGACCTGGTGAAGAACCGGATGCAGCTGAGCGGTGAAGGAGCCAAAACGCGGGAGTACAAGACCAGCTTCCATGCCCTCACCAGTATCCTTAAGGCAGAAGGGCTGCGGGGCATTTACACCGGGTATTGAGGCCACAGGATGGGGATTAGGGTGCGGGTTGGCAGCCCCGGACCTTGGCCTAATACAGTGACCCCTTCACTCCCCAGGTTGTCAGCTGGCCTCCTGCGCCAGGCCACTTACACCACCACGCGCCTTGGCATCTACACTGTGCTGTTTGAACGCCTGACTGGGGCTGATGGTACGCCGCCTGGCTTTCTGCTGAAGGCCCTGATCGGCATGACTGCAGGGGCAACCGGTGCCTTTGTGGGAACCCCAGCCGAGGTGGCTCTGATTCGAATGACTGCCGATGGCCGGTGAGTTCCAGGTCTGAGCCCGCCTCCAGCTCCATTCCTTGGAATCTAGAATTAAGGGCTAACTTATCTTCGATCGAAAGCAGAGCACTCATCTGTTCTGGACTCTCTTTCCTTGTTCCTGTGGGACAGGATGGTCTGTCCTGAGCTTGGCCTCTTCCCTGCCTTCCCACCAGGCTCCCAGCTGACCAACGCCGTGGCTACAAAAATGTGTTTAATGCCCTGGTTCGAATCGCTCGGGAGGAGGGCGTCCCCACACTGTGGAGGGTGAGTGAAGGGGCTGGACACCTGAGGGGTGGGGTCAGGTCCCAGGCATTTCTGAATCCTCTCCCACTCCCCACCCAGGGCTGCATCCCTACCATGGCTCGGGCGGTTGTCGTCAATGCTGCCCAGCTTGCCTCTTACTCTCAATCCAAGCAGTTCTTACTGGACTCAGGTGAGACCTAGACCTGGGCCCTTAGCTCCCAGCCGGTCCTGAGCCAGACTCTGACTGACTGCCACTGCTCCACCTCCCCCAGGTTACTTCTCTGACAACATCTTGTTGCACTTCTGTGCCAGCATGATCAGTGGCCTGGTCACTACTGCTGCCTCCATGCCCGTGGACATTGTCAAGACCCGGTGAGTCTGCAGGCCTGGGCCTGGGGAAGGAAGGGAGGGCCCCGTCGTGTGTCTCACGCCCCTACCTTCTCTCCTCCAGGATCCAGAACATGCGAATGATTGACGGGAAGCCGGAATACAAAAACGGCCTGGTGAGGAAACAGGGCTGGGGGTTTGGGCTGGAGGATCGTGGATGTCCTGGGGAAACAGTGAGGGTAGCTGGGTATGAGGGCCAGGGCCCCAGAGGCCAGGTCCTAGCCCCCGTGTCCTGCCCACCCGCCTGTCTAGGATGTGCTGGCGAAGGTCATTCGCTACGAGGGCTTCTTCAGCCTGTGGAAGGGCTTTACACCGTACTACGCCCGCCTGGGCCCCCACACCGTCCTCACCTTCATCTTCTTGGAGCAGATGAACAAGGCCTACAAGCGTCTCTTCCTCAGTGGCTGAGGCGGGCGAGGGGCCTGGAGCCGGTGTGCTGGGCTCCCCCCTGGCCCGCTGCTCCTACAGTCAGTGTGCCCCTGGGGGCCCTGGACGGCTGCCCTGGCCCCTCTATTTATTCTCCCTCCGCAGTGTGGTTCCTTCTTCTGCGGTAAAGAGGTTTGGTCTGCCCTGCCCCTGCTCCAGCTCACCCTGCTTGTCCTCATCCTCACGACCTCTCTGTCCCTGGCTGTGCCTTGGAGGAAGCTGAGAAACTCCCTGAGAATTCCCAGCCTTCTCTTGGGTGTTAGTTTCAGGACACAAGGGACAGCAGAAGATTCCCCTTCTCAGTAGGGAAACCGAGGCAGAGCCGAGGGGCCAGAGGGAGCGGAAGCTGTCAAGATGGCCAGAGGGTCTGCAGTGAGAGGACGTAATAAACCGGATTTCCTCCACTTCACTGAGGACATCCTCCCTGGATTGACGACACTACCCCCAAATTCGACGAGTTGTGAGGGCTTGGAGGGGGAGGAGACAGGGCAAAGAAGCAATGCTCCTGGAGAACAGAAACTGGAGTTTTTAAGGAAAACTGTTACAGAAAAAGCACCTGCTGTTTTTATGGAAACGCGACGTCAGTCAGTCTCACTGTGGCAGCTGACTGGGTGAGGAAAACCAAAGCCCGAGCACCGAGTCTTGCCTCCCAGCCACTTGCCCAAGAATGCGACTGATGCGCAAGTCAGCACAAGTCCGCTCACGTGATCCCCAGGAGAGCCTCGGGTCTGGTGACTGCTCCTGTGGCCCAAAGAGGGAGGGAATAAAGAGGATGAGAAGAGAAGGCTGACCTGCGTGTGTGTGTGTGTGTGTGTGTGTGTGGGTGGGGGGAGAGGGGGGGGTGCATTTCTGAGGGCGGGCTTGGAGAGTGAGCACAGGAGCCAGACCCCCAAAGCCTGGAGTTGGAGGAGCCAGAGACTTGATCTGGGCACTAAGTTGGGGGGAGTGACTGCCTTGTCTGCGTGACTCCCAGACCCTGGCCTCTAGGAGCCCCCCAACCTCTTGGGGACTTAAAAGGGTATGAGAAGGTCAACTGGAAGGAGGGTTGGTCAGTGTGAGGTCTGAGGGCTTGCGAGCCAGGTCAGGGGACAGGCAGGCGGCAGGTGGGAGCTGTCCTCTTGGCAGAGGCTCTCGATGGAAGTGGAGCTCGGCAGCCTGGCGTCGTGCTGGGCCCTCCCACCGCCGCCTGTCTTTTTACCTGCTCCGTGCACGTGCTGGCCTGGGCCTTGTGGCCACGTTGAGACACTGAGGCCCAAGTCATACTAAGAAATTCCAAGTCCAGGGGGAAGATGGCACAGGAGCAGTTCGGGGAACTGGGAGTGGAGCAGTAGGCTGGGGCTGGGTAGCCTGGAGCACCCGCTCTGCCTGGGTGAGGAGAGACCTGTGCACAGCAGCAGACTGGCTGGGGGCGGGGGCGGGGCCGTTCGGGCTGACAAGACAGGAAAGGCTGGGGAGCAGGTGCAGCAGCCGGGACACAGGTGGTGAAGTGTGTGTGAGGTGAAGCTGAAGTGTTCGACGGGTCAGTGCACAGAAGTCCTTGATTGTCATCCTCTACCCAGGGAAGAGTTCAGAGCAGGGGAAATTCGGTTGGGTTTCCAAGTTAGGAAGATTCTTCCAGCACCACCTGGAGAGGTGGTCTGATCTCATTCTCTGAGCTCCAAGCCTTGATTTGGGCTGGGGGCAAGGTAGGAGAGGGTGCTATCACATGTGAGGAGAACCTGGCACACGATGAGAGAAGTGGGTTTGTTAGTTTGAGGGTAGGAAACACTATTCAGGAAAGCCCACACCTTTCCTCTGTCCCACTCACCTGGACAGCACAGGAAAGCTGTGTTTCGGAGGCTGCAGGTGAGGGCAGGCATCCCCTTCACTCCTAGTTCTGCGGCCACAGACGGCCCCGGTGGTGTTGCTAACCTCCAGGGAGACATGTGGTTCTTAATCTGGAGCCGGTGCTTGGGGCGGCCTGGAGGGTGGTCACCCCTTGAGGAGACGAGTAGGCACCCCAAGCCGGGAAGTGCCATCTAAGGCTAGATCTTTGGGGGTGAGGAGTGCAACTAGAGTGGGGGGTCATTGGAGCCTTGGGAATGCCAGGGACAGGTGTCCCAGCCACTCTTTCCCTCCAAAAGACCTTAATTTTTCTTTTTGAAATTACTTTTATTGATTTTGTACAGAGAGGAAGGGGGAGAGATAGAGAGTTAGAAACATCGATGAGAGAGAGTCATCGATCAGCTGCCTCTTGCACACCCCCTACTGGGGATAGGCCCACAACCAAGGTACATGCCCTTGACCGGAATTGAACCCGGTTCCCTTCAGTCCCCAAGCCGACGCTCTATCCATTGAGCCAAACCGGTTTGGGCTGAAATTACTTTTTATTATACCAATAATATGATGATAGAAAAGGCCAAGCAGAGGAAAGGAAGACCATATACCACCCCGAGACAATCAGGGTTCACATCTTGATAAATCTCTTCAAATTTTCAATACACAGATAAACGTGGGGGCCAGTCTTCTATTAAAAAAAAAAATGCTTTTATTGATTTTTCTTTTTAGAGAGGGAGAGGAATAGAGAAGTAGAAACATCAATCAAAGTGGTAATAACCCAGTGGTCTGCCACCCCACCTCATCTAATGCTTTTTTTTCTATGAGCCACACAACTCCATCTCACTTCCTCTCCTGGCTGACTGGTTTTGAGGTTGTTCCTGTGGTATGAAGGGGAGGCTTCTGATAAAAAAGTGAGACCTCCCCGTGACCCTGTGATTGTCACTAGCCCCCACCCCCCACCAGATCCCACCAGAGCCTCTCCAAGTCCCCAAATCGCCCAACCTCAGAGGCTGTGGCCGGAGTACCTAAGGCCCACTGTGCCCAGCAGGTCCTGACCACGGCCCAGACTCAGGGCTGAGGGCCGCCGTCCTGCCACCAGAGGCCCCACACGGCCATTGGGCCGGATCCACAGGAACAGGCTGGAGCGGAAAGTTGGGAATGATCCCTGGAGGAAAAGCAGCCAGGCCCGGGGCACAGCCACCTGCCTTCCCCTCTCCAGCTCCAGATAGGTGGTGTGCGTGGCTGTGGTCAGGGCAACAGGCTGGCCGAAGTCCAGGGGCCGTGCCTTCAGGTGCCGGACCCGGATCAGCAGCAGGAGGAGGACCACAGAGGCAAACAGGAGCCAGAGGAGGCCCAGGATGTAGAAGCCCAGGGGAAGGAGACAGCAGAAGTCGGGGCTGAGAAAAGGGTCCCTTTGGGAGCTATCCACATTCCCTTGAGCTAATCCTCGGACCTTGGCGAGGTCGAAAAAGTCAGGGGTGATTGTTGTGGATTCTAAGGGAGGGAGGGAGGCGGGTTCTGTGGTGGTTAATGTGGTCAGTTCTGAGGTGGTATGTAGTGTGGTGGTTTCCGGGGTGGTCGGGGTCGTGGTGGTTTCTGGGGTGCTTGGGGGTGTGGTGGGCTCTGGGGTAGTTGGGGGTATAGTGGGCTCTGGGGTAGTTGGGGCCGTGGTGGGCTCTGGGGTGGTCGGGGGTGTGGTCGGCTCTGGGGTGGTCGGGGGTGTGGTGGGCTCTGGGGTAGTTGGGGCCGTGGTGGGCTCTGGGGTAGTTGGGGCCGTGGTGGTTTCTGGGGTCGTCGGGGCTGTGGTGGGCTCTGGGGTGCTCAGGGTTGTGGTGGTTTCTGGGGTCGTCGGGGCTGTGGTGGGCTCTGGGGTAGACGGGGGTGTGGTGGGCTCTAGGGTGGTCGGGGCCGTGGTGGGCTCTGGGGTAGTTGGGGCCGTGGTGGTTTCTGGGGTCGTCGGGGCTGTGGTGGGCTCTGGGGTGCTCAGGGTTGTGGTGGTTTCTGGGGTCGTCGGGGCTGTGGTGGGCTCTGGGGTAGACGGGGGTGTGGTGGGCTCTAGGGTGGTCGGGGCCGTGGTGGGCTCTGGGGTAGTTGGGGTCGTGGTGGGCTCTGGGGTGGTCCGGGTTGTGGTGGTTTCAGTCGTGGGTTTGGGAGTGTGGGAGGATGTAATGGGTTCTAATGTGGTTGGAAATGTGGTCTGTTTCTTAGTGGGCTCAGGGGATGGAGGCAAGTAGGGCACGTGGCTGGCTGGAGAAGCAGTCGGTTCTGGGGCGAAGAGGCCCCCGGGAGTTGTATCGGCTTTGGTGTGGGAGACCGCAGCCCTTGTGGTAGGCACCTCCGCACTCGTGGCGTCATACTCAGGGACCTCTGTGTCACCTTTGGGAGGCGCGCAGCCCTTCCCGGGGAAGGCGGAGACGGGGCTTTGGTGCAGGTTGACGCACCGCACGCTCTCCACGTTGGGGGTCATGGCCTTGTTGTCCACGCCCTCCTTCCACAAGTACACGCTGTCGGCGTTCTGCTGCAGCCAGCGGCTGAAGTAGAGGATGCTGCAGTTGCAGAACCAGGGGTTGTTGTGGAGAAAAGCGAAAGGCAGAAGGCGGTCTCCGAAGAAGCCCTCGGGGACTGTGCGCAGCCAGTTCCCCTGGAGGTAGAGGGTGTCCAGCTCCTCCAACCCATCCAGGAGCTCCGGGGGCAGGTCCGTCAGCTGGTTCTCGGCCAGGTTGAGCTTCCTCAGGCGGACGGTGGACGCCAGGAGCCGGGGCGGCAGCGTCCGCAGCTTGTTCTTCCACAGGGAGAGCTCCTGCAGGTGGCTCAGGCCGTCCAGGACACCCGGAGACAATGAGGTCAGCTTGTTGTAGGAGGCGTCCAGGGTGGTGAGTGCTGGCAGGCTCTGCCCCAGCGCGGGCAGGCTTGACAGCAGGTTGTGGGGTACCTCCAGGGTCTCCAGCAGCGGCAGCGTCGCATCAGCCCGCAGTTCGGTCAGCTGGCTGTCTCCCAGGTGCACCTGAGTAAGGCGGGGCAGCGACGCCAGGGACGACAGGGCGAAGGTGCCCAGGGGGTTCTCGCCCAGGCGGAGGATGTTGGCGCCGCCCGGCAAATCTGAAGGCATCGCCTTCAGGCCCCGCTTTTCACAGTTCACCTCCATCTTGTTGGCCACTATGAAGATCTCACAGGAGGAATCCGAGTGTGAAAGGCTCGGCAGCAGGAGCAGCAAGAGGAGGAGAGGCATGAGGACCTGTGGGCAAGGGGAGTTTGAGGGGGCACCTCGCTGGCCCCCGCGTTATTCCCCCCCCCCCCCCCAGGCCCTGGCCCTCGCTGAAGCCTCCGGGATCCTTTCCAGAAACTTGGCTTCCACACCTCCCAACCGCCCCACTCCCCTTTCTCACCCTTGTCCCCCAAAGCCTTCCCGGCTAGCTCCAGGTCCTTGACTCTCGTCCCTCCCTCAGACCCTCTCCCCTCCCTGCCCAGCCCAAACCCCAGCTTACAGGCAGGCAGAAGAGCAGGCAGAAAAACCTCCGGAGGCACAGAGCTTCTTCCAGGGTGTGACTCCTTCTTTCTTACAGCTTGAGGGAGGGCCTGGGCAGGGGCAGGAAGGGAATGGGCATGGGAGGAAGTGCCAACCTGATAGGGACTCCTGTGACTCCCGGACACAAGCCCTTATCACCCCCTTCCACAGCTTTCCCCAAACCCTCCTTTTGGCTCTCTCACTCCCCCTTTCCTTCTACAGCAGGGAGATTGGGAGTGGACCTGTTTTAGAAACCCCTCATCCAGCTTTTAGAAACCCCTCCAGCTGCCACTCTCACTTCCCCTTCACAGCTGCATCCTTAGAGTTGCCTAGTAATTTTAACCCTCACCTCCCTCTGCCTTCTCACCTAACTAGGCTGGTTTCATCCCGCCATTGGTTCAGCATTCTCGCCAAGGTTTCCAGTGCCCCCAACCCCTCTACAACCACTGGACACTTCTCCATTATGATCTTATTTTCTGCAGCCTGCTAGAGACTCATAATACTGTTTCCTGGTTTTCTCTTACCTTTCCGGCCAGCCCTTCCCCATCTCCTTTGTGGGTTCTTCTTCCTCTGTCCTCATGGAAATTAAGCAGCCCCCACACTTTGGTTCTTTGGGCTTCTTCTTCTTCTTCTTGGGCTGCTGCTGCTGCTGCTGCTGCTGCTGCTGCTTCTTCTTCTTCTTCTTCTTCTTCTTCTTCTTCTTCTTCTTCTCTCCTCCTCCTCCTCCTCCTCCTCCTCCTCCTCCTCGTCCTTCTTCTTCTTCTTCTTCTTCTTCTTCTCCTTCTCCTTCTCCTTCTCCTTCTCCTTCTCCTTCTCCTTCTCCTTCTCCTTCTCCTTCTCCTTCTCCTTCTCCTTCTCCTTCTCCTTCTCCTTCTCCTTCTCCTTCTCCTTCTCCTTCTCCTTCTCCTTCTCCTTCTCCTTCTCCTTCTCCTTCTCCTTCTCCTTCTCCTTCTCCTTCTTCTTCTTCTTCTTCTTTATGCTCACAAACACCTGAGATTATCCTTGCCCATTCCCTTGCATTCAGCTACCACTTGTGACTTCCCATAACATTTTATCTCCAGCCCAGACCTCTCTCTTGAGACCCAAACACATATATCCCACTGCCTTTTGGACTTCTGGAGTGTCCCAAAGACACTAATGTGTTCAAAGCAGACCTTATGATCTCTCTCCAAGAAGCTTATCCTCCCATGTCCTCCAGCCTGGTGAATGGCCCCATTATGCATTGATTTGTCTACTAGTGATTTTCAACCGTTTTCATTTCATGGCACACATAAACTAATTACTAAAATTCTGCAGCACACCAAAAAATACATTTTTTGCTGATCTGACAAAAAAAAATAGGTATAACTTTGATTGATTTACCAAAAAATAATAATAATGATAATTACCGCCGAAACCGGTTTGGCTCAGTGGTAGAGCATCGGTCTGCGGACTGAAGGGTCCCAGGTTCGATTCCGGTCAGGGGCATGTACGTTGGTTGCGGGCACATCCCCAGTGGGGGGTGTGCAAGAGGCAGCTGGTCGATGTTTTTCTCTCATCGACGTCTCTGGCTCTCTATCTCTCTCCCTTCCTCTCTGTAAAAAAATCAATAAAAGAAAATAAAAGAAAATAAAAGAAAAAGAAAATCACTGGTCTGGCCCAGCCAGTGTGGCTCAGTGGTTGAGTGAAAAACCCATGAACCAAGAGGTCACTGGTTTGATTCTAGTCAGGGCACATGGCTGGGTTTCAGGCTTAATCTCCAGTAGGGAGTGTACAGGAGGCAGCTGATGGATGTTTCTCTATCATTGATGTTTCTATCTACTCCTCTCCCTTCTTCTCTCTCAAATCGATAAAAACATACAGTATTTTTAAAAATTGCTGGTCTGTCCCTGGCTTGTTAAGAGTGTCATCCTGCCGAAACTGGTTTGGCTCAGTGGATAGGGCACCGGTTTGTGGACTGAAAGGTCCCAGGTTCGATTCCCGTCAAGGACATGTACCTTGGTTGTGGGCACATCCCCGGTGGGGGGTGTGCAAGAGGCAGCTGATCGATGTTTCTCTCTCATCGATGTTTCTAACTCTCTATCCCTCTCTCTTCCTCTCTGTAAAAACTCAATAAAATATATATATATATTTTTTAAAAAGAGCGTCATCCTGATATGCCAAGGTTGTGGATTTGCGTTCCAGTTTGGGCACATACAAAAAGCAACCAAAGAATGCATCATAAATGGAACAACAAACTGATGTTCCCCTCTCCTTTCCTCTCTCTTCCTCTCAAAACAATAAGTTAAAAATACAGAAATAAAATTTCTGGTCTAAGATAGATGAAAAAAAAAAGAAGAACGAAAGATGCCCTGGCTGTGTGGCTCAGCTGGTTGGACGTCATCTCCTGTGCCGAACGGTTGCCAGTTCAATTCCTGGTCAGAGCTCGTGCCTGACTTGTGACCTCGATCCCCAATGGGGCACATGCAGGAGGCAGCTGATTAATGTTTCACTCTCACATCAATGTGTCTCTCTCTCCCTCTCTCCCAAATAATATTGATTTTAAAAGTTAAAAAAAAAAAGAAAAGAAAAGAATAAAATCAAAGATAAAATGAGCCCTAGCCGGATTGGCTCAGTGTATAGCATCGGCCTGCTGACAGAAGGGTCCTGGGTTTGGTTCTGGTCAAGGGCACATACCTCAATTGCTGGCTCCTCCCCCAGCCCAGGCCCTGGTTGGGGTGCATGCAGGAGGCAATCAATCAATGTGTTTCTCTCACATCGAAATTTCCCTCTTCCACTCTCTCAAAAAATCAATGGAAAAATATCCTTGGGTGAGGATTTAAAAAAAAAAAAAAAAAAAAAAAAAAAAAAAAAAGCCCAAAGGGGGAAAGAGAAGAACAGAAAGAAAGAAAATGCTGGTCTAGCCATTCAATCAATACAAACAAATCCCTGATAGTTATCCTTAACTCCTTCCCTGTCTCATCCCCACATCCAACTTGTCACCAGGTTCCATTAATTTTACCTCCTTATCGCTTTCAAATCCAATTTTTAAAAATATATATATTTTATTGATTTTTTTTTTTTTACAGAGAGGAATAGAGAGTTAGAAACATCGATGAGAGAGAATCATCAATCAGCTGCCTCCTGCACAACCCCCACTGGGGATGTGCTCACAACCAAGGTACATGCCCTTGACCGGAATCGAACCTGGGACCTTTCAATCTGCAGGCCGAAGCTCTATCCACTGAGCCACACCGGTTTCGGCTCCACTTTTTTCCCCTTTTCCTACTGCCGCCATTCCTAGCCCAGGTGCTACGTTCTCTCTACTGCTTCTCCACAACTGCCCCCCATCTGGTGTCCTAGCTTTCTGACTTCCCTTTCTCTCATTCCCCACTGGAGCTGTCTTTCAGAACTTCAGATCTGCCGAAACCGGTTTGGCTCAGTAGATAGAGCGTCGGCCTGCGGACTGAAAGGTCCCAGGTTCCATTCCAGTCAAGGGCATGTACCTTGGTTGTGGGGTGTGCAGGAAGCAGCTGATTGATGTTTCCCTCTCATCGATGTTTCTAGCTCTCTATCCCTCTCTCTTTCTCTCTGTAAAAAATCAATAGAATATATTAAAAAAGAAAAAAAAAGAACTTCAGATCTGCTCAAATACCTCACTGCTTATTCATCCATGGGGAAGTCTAAGACCCCTAACATGCCCTACAGAGTCCTGTGCCTGCCTCACCAATCCCATCTCTTAATACTAGACCATTTTCCTTCTTGTGCCCGGGCCCTCTGATCACTTATCTCCTTCTGCATAATTCTCACTTATATGGAAAGTTCCAGTCCAGAATTCCTTCATCTAGAAAACCTTTTAGGACTTGCCAACATCAGGTTAGGTGCCTATTTCAGAGATTCAGCCACCATTGCCTAATGATTAACATGTCCTACCTACTATACCCCAGGAAGGGCCTGAGCCTGCCCTGGTCTACTTGCCGTTGGTGACTGGACAAGGGCAGATGCAGTTAGTCTGCAGTCTTGCCATTTATATATTTGCCAGCGGAAAAAAGTACTTGAAAATGTGGAGAAAAGGAGACAGCTAACAGCAGGAAGTGAGCAGAAAGTTGTATAGAGAGAGATTACGATGTGGAATAAGGCCCCGAGGCTGTTAGTTTTTGCTGCCTTAGGAGCAGGGCTTATAGTCGTAAGCAGCAGAAGATGATCTGGTTAATTTAGGTGGAAAGGAATTTATTAAAAATACATTGGCTACTTTACAGATTTGTCAGGGCTGGAGAACCAAACTTGGAACTGTGTAGCCAGGACCGTGCCCAGAACGAGGCTGCAGAACCAGTCTGGTGAGCAAAGCGCTGCTCCTGCTGCAAGACCAGGTCACTGAAGCTTGACTGCTCCAGCTGCCCAGCCAGGACTCGGTGTTTTCACAGCCTCCTGCTGCAGAGAGAGCGAGGATTCTGGGCCACTGCTACTCCTTGGTGATACTAACTCCTGAGTCAACATCTGGGTGACCTGATTGATCATGTCCCTGTGACTCAGTGGGTCAGTGAAAACAAGTATCTGCTATATCCAAATTTAAAAAACAAAAAAACAAAAGAAAATTTTATTGATTTTTTTTTTTTTTTACAGAGAGGAAGGGAGAAGAATAGAGAGCCAGAAACATCCATCAGCTGCCTCCTGCACACCCCCTACTGGGTATGTGCCTGAAACCAAGGTACATGCCCTTGACCAGAATTGAACCTGGGACTCTTTAGTCCAAAGGCCGACACTCCATCCACTGAGCCAAACCAGTTAGGGCTACTTCCAGTGTTTGTAGTAGGAGCCAAGTTCTGCTTCTCCAAGGATTTATAAGTTGAAGAATTTTTGCAGTCATAGGTAAGAGATTCATGTGCTTGGGCATCTGCTGAAATGATCCTATGTTTTATTTTCTTCACATGTCAATGTCCTTAATTTTTTCCAGTTTTGCATCTTTGAATGCTTGGGGTGAACCATATTTACCAAGACCAGTTTGGCTCAGTGAACCTTTACATCAACATTAGAAAATAAGAGTGGTTGATGTCAGCATCATGACTAAGAAGACTCCATTGTTGCTCCACTTAAACTTTGCAACAAGTCATAC